ATATATATATATATATATATATATATATATATACACACACACATACATGGCACATGTCACACCACAATTAGAATCACACATACATACCATATGTTCATTATTTACCACACACACTTACCTGTTGTTGTCGTCTATTCCACTCATAGCAACCCTGTATAAGGTTTCCAAAGAGTGGCTAGTGAGTTTGAACTGCCAACCCTGCGGTCATCAGTCCAGCACTGATGCTAAGTGCCACACCAGGACTCTGTGTACCACATCCCATGTGCACATACATACATACATAAGGAGCTCCTGTAGCGGAGTGGTTACAAGTTGGGCTACTAATCTCACGGTCAGCAGTTCGAAACTACTAGTGGTTCCGTGGGAGAAAGATGAGGCATTCTGCTCCCGTAAAGACGTACAGCCTCGGAAACCGTATACAGAGTCGCTGTGAGTCGGAACCGACTCCACAGCACATAACCACCACACACACACACACACACACACACACACACACACACTTACCCCACACACATACAGACCACATGCACTCACACACCACACACACCTGTTGTTGTCTATTCCCCTGGTCTCTCTGCTTCCCATTGAAGCCCCTGCCCATGCCCATTTCATGCTCCCATGCTGACCCCTCTTAGTCACAGCTCGGGCCACAGCCTCCCTGACCTCCAGACGACACACTAGTCCCGGTCATCTCCACTCGCACAGTGAATGGACCCTCAGTGTAGCCCTCTCCAGCCGCCCTGCATGCTCAGCCCCATCCCAGGGAGGTGCTGCTCTCCAGGTGTGTAGGTCAAAGATCTTCCCATCTGCCAGGTGTCAGGTGCCTCTTGGAGTCCCCTCCTGCTGATCTCTGCTCACATTTCCTCCCCACCCCCTCCCCATGGGACACACTGGGGGTGAAGAGTCTCCTCCTTTGGAGTAACAGCCCCAGGGTGCTCACTGCTGGATGTAGTGTTTGGGGACTGAAGGAAGGAAGGTGGGTGGGGTGGCAGGTGTCTGAGAAGGGCATCTACCCAGTGGCCAAACTTCAAGGGTCAGTCCCAAGCTGGTCCCTCACATGCATTCACAGCATCATTTGAGATTGGATTTTCCATCTTCCTCAACAGAGGAGAAGGGGCTCTGGTGGCACTGTGGGATAAGCACTGGTCTGCTAAGTGAAAGGTCAGCAGTTTAAACCCACCAGCCATTCATGTGGCTGTCATCCCAATGAACTGGATGTCAGGGGGATGGGGTGAAGTGGGACTCTGGAGTGAAAGGTCACAGGAAACCCAGTGGGTGGAATCCCTGATGGATGGTGGCCTGTTTCTAACCCAGGCATGTTCTCTAGGAGCTCAGAGTGACAGAGGGAATGAGGAAAAGGAGCAGGAGGGGGAGTGTGAAGGTGGGGGTCGGGGGTTCTCAGGGTGGGAAGGTGAGTAGGGACTTCCTGGGACCTGTGCAGGATGGCATTCAGGGGGTAGCATGGCAAAGACACTGAGACAAGAAGGCAGGTGGGCTTTGGGAGGCAGAGGGCATGTCAGGTTTGGCTCCGAGTGGTGCTCATATGGAGGGAGATAGGAAGTGGCGGTCCCTCTGGTCCGGGGAAAAGGGAGATGCCTAGGGTGGACACGGACAGGGTCAGAGGTGCAGTGTGGGAAGGGGGTGGGTGGAGGCACCAGGGACAGAGACAGGCCTGACCCTCAGAGAGCATTCACCTGTGTCGGGAGGCATTGAAGGATCAAGGGACTCTGAGGGTAAATCCTACCCTGTTATTGCAAGATGTTGTTGTTGTTGTTGTTAAGTGCCGTCGAGTCGGTTCCGACCCATAGCGACGGACTCTTAAAAAGCCCAGTCACATGCTTGAGTACCCTGCCCCTGCCTCCCAACCATCACTGTCCCCAACCCGGACTCAAGCAGCTCTTGGCTTATCTTACCTTGTAACTCTGAACAAGCTATTTCATCTTCTGGCCTCGGTTTGCTTATCCATAAAAAAGGGCATCACCAAACACGTCCTAGTCCTGTGGTTAGTAAATGGCAATGTCTAAGCTAGAACCTAGGGCTCTGGCCCCATCATCAACACTTCCCCTGGAAGGCCAGCTTTGGATGCTCCCCAGTCCCTAACCGTGTACAGTAAGAACTGTACAAAGCTGTGTACTCCCGAGGGAGTTACTGGACTGGCCTCAGAACACAGGGCTGGGTAGACCTTGTGTGGACTTCAGACTTCAGGCCCATCAACATCACTGAGTCTCCATGGAGGGCTGCATGGAGGAGGTGACCCTTTAGGGTGAGAACAATGGGAAGAATATGAGGAGTTGTGGCAGGATCGGAGTCAGGTTTCAGGATTTGGGATAGTTGGGTGAAATTGAGGCTTCCCACCACTGCCTTCTGCCCAGCCCATGCGAGCCCCCAGGGACAGCTCAGCAACCTCTCCAGAGCCCTGCCTGGGGAGGGAATTCTGGCAGGCCCTCTGAGCTGCCTTTTAGAAGAGCTGAAACAGTCTATTCATATTGGGTTTAAAAAAATTAAACTTTAATACATTCTTATTAATTTTTAGACAACCCCCCCGGCAGGTCATTGACTATGAGTGATTGAGGTAACTGGAGGCTTTTGAATGGGAAACTCCTGTAAGGAATAGGATTCAGTCCCCTCAGGCAAGCCTGCCCCTCTCTGAGCCCCCTAGGGATCTGTAAAATGGGCAGCTGCTTGCAGGAGGTGGAGGTTGTTGTTAATTACTATTGTCATTCTGTTGACGATAAATTACTGGAGTTAAGGGTGAAGGACTCAACAGCTAGCCGCTCCTCCTCAGAAACCAGGGTCGTTATGAGCCGGAACCGGAACTTACACTTTACAGCAACAGCAAGACGCTGGGAGGGTAGTTCTTCACACTTGCTGAGCTTTGCGCTCAGGGGCCTGAGCCCAGAGCCCAGCAGAGAAAAAATCAATAAGGAAGAAGTGGAGAAGTGAAGAATAAACTATTGACCTTAGAGAACTCTGTTTGAACTGGGACTGACACTTGGGATAGAGCCCCTTCCTTTTCCGGCTTAGAGCTTGGACACCAGGCATGCAGGGCACTGGGAATTACTGTGTGGAGGGATACAGTCCCGCCTGCCCCCTTCCCCAACCACAGAGGGGGAAGCAGAAAAGACACCATCACAATGCTATAGCCCATTTGTGCACTGTGTGCATTTATTAAGCGCCTGCTGTATTCTGGAATCTATCATAAATGCGGTGATATGGACCCAAGAAAGATGAGCCTCAGGGAGCTAAAAGGTTGGGGATAGAGGTGTTGGCCTCGTGGCAAACCCTTCCTGGCAAACTCGTTTATCTGGGCGAGGAAGTTTAACTAGAAAGGCCCAGCCCAGGGTTTTGACAACTTTTAGTATCAGGAGACCGGCCGCGCTAAGCCAGGTCCTTATCTGGAGTCCCTTCCCCCATTCTCCCATCCCCAGCCCAACACAGCGACTGGCCCTCCCAGCAGCTTTCAGGTGGGGAAACTGAGGCCGGGGACATCCTGGGGAGGCCTGCCGATCACCCGGGGAGTTGGTGGCCAGGCCTGGCCAAGGCCCCAGCCCGGCCTCCCAGCTCGGTGCCGGCGGCTGGGACTGCGCCCTCGCCCGCGGGGCGGTGGGGGAGGCGGAGTGGGGCCCGGACCGGAGCAGAGCGCGCTCCCGGCGGAGGCGGCGGCGGCGCCCGGTGATGGGCCGGGATGGGCAGTCATCAGTCTTCCCAGGTGTGTCGTGTGGTCCCAGAGCTCAGCCCCTCATCCCGCTTTCAGGCCAGCCTGGACACAGAGAACCCGGGGAAGCCCCAGGAAGCGGCCTCTCCCGGTGACGGAAAGCCCGCCCCGCGCCCCCCGCTCCGCGCAGGACGTGCCAGCCCGCCCGGGCCGCTGGCGGTCCCCGCCGCTCTCGGCGCCCAAAGGGTTAAGGCGGTGGCTGGGTCCCCGCTCCCGCGCGCGGAGGGGCTGCGGGCTGCGCGGGCTGGGCGGGGAGGGTCTCCAAGTAGCGCGCGGGCGGGTCTGCGCAAGCCCGGCAGGGAGCCCCGCCGGCGCGCCGAGAGCGCGAGGGTTAATCCCCCGGGCCAGGGAGGGGCGGCAAGGCCCGGAACCCCGGATCCAGGGCAGCGGGGTCCCCAACTGTGGGATCCGGCGCCGGGGCCCAGGATCCCCGGAGTCGCGCTTCTGAATGCCATCGCCCTCGGCTCCTGTGAGTGGCAGGTTCTGCAATCCCGTCATGGCCCCCAACCCCCTGATTCGAACATTCCGAGTCGGGGCTCCTGCGCCGCCAGGCTCGCAGTTCTCGGGAGGAACGCGGGGCCAGAGGGCTCCACTGGCGGGCTGGCGCCGGGGCTGGGCCGGTCCCCCTCCGGGCCCAACCGGGATCGCCAGGCGCCCCGGGGGGCGTAACTCGGCGCCAGAGTGGGCGGCCCGGTGGGTCACCTGTTACTCGGAGGCGGCCAGCGGGGCTACCTAAGAACGGAGCCCTGGGAGGGGGCGCAGGGACGTCTTCCCACGGCCGAGCCCTCTGGGTCCCCGAAGCGCTGCGCCGGCTGTGCCCGCGGTGCGCACTGGGCTCCGCCCGCCGAGCGCTCTCCAGCCTGACTCTCCGTTTGCTTCCTCGCAGGCCTCTGCCGCAGACATGGAGAAACTCAGGTGAGCCGGGCGGCCGCGTGCGTGGGGGAGCAGGGCGGGGGCCTCGGCCCGGACCATCGCCGGGGCGCGGTCACCGCGCGGAGCTGCCCGGCGGGGGCTTGTGTGCAATGCGTGTGTGCGCGTGGCCAAACAATGGGGACCCCGCGCAGGGCTCCTCGGCGGGGCCCGGCGAAGCCTGGGGTCGTGGCGGCTGGAGGGTGGGGGTTGGGGGGTGTCATCGCTAAGGGCCCGGCCACCCTCCGGTCCCCGCGCCCCTTGGCGCCCTGCCCTGCACTCTGAATGTCCCCCAGGACCCCTGGGTATCCGCTCCCGCAGTTACAGTACGCACCGGCTCCAGCGGCGCTGGGTGTACTCCCCAACCCCCAGCTGAGTTGCTTGGGTTGAGCTATTAAGTTTCCACCTCATGGGGGCGGGGGGAGGGGGATGGAGTCCTCTTGGCTGACCCAGGCTATAACGTCTTGGAGCCATTTTGGGGGAATCCCACGACACTGTCTGGGGAGTGTCCCCGGGGCCACCCTCCCTCCAGGTCACTAAACTTTGAACCTTGAAGGCCTAACCCTCTACTTAGAAGGCCTGGGATCACGAGTTCCTCCTTGGCTTCCCTTGTCCCCCTGACCCCCACTTTGAGAACACCCCTCTTGCTTTTTCCTTCTGGATCGGAGGCGAGCCAGTGTGTGGGTAATAGGCCGGGCTCCACAAGCTCTTAGCGCTATTCGGGCCTAGGGGCTGGCCTGACCTCTTTCTCTACCAACCCCCTCTCTTCCCAAGGCCAGAAGGAGCACCTTGGGGAGGAATCTGGGGACCAGAGGTACCCATTCTATAATGGGCAGGGACCCATCAGAATCCCAGGCAGGTGTCAAGGTCTAGGGGAGAGAGGCCTTTGTCCTGTGGCTAGGTCACCTGGGTGTGCCCAGATAGGAGCATGGGGACAGATGGGTTCACACAGAGGCCCCAGACCAGATACTAAGAGCCAGGGCCATCTCCTCAGCCACTGACCTGGAGTGTACCCTCCCTGAGGCCACCACAGACCAGGCCATCTTCTTCTATGGTGGAGGGAGGTCAAGACCATGTCGCTGTGCCAGGCCCACCTTGTCACGGGCCTCTGACCCCTCCTTTTATCTGTCACTCATGGGCACACCCACTTGAGCTGGGCTTCTGTGGGTGAAGGGACTGCGTAGCTCAGCCAGGATTTGAGCAAAGGGAGTCCAGCCAAAGGGTTCCTTGGGGGTCAGGGCTCAGAGGTGCCCCTTTGCCCTCTCCGTTAGTCAGCTCGCAGTCCTGCCTCCAGACTAGTCTCCTGGCCAGTTGGAATGACCAAGGCTTCTGTCCTGTGTGTGGTGCAGGACCCCCGACCAGAAGGCCCAGAGAGTTGGAGACGACATTGGGAACCAGTCTCTGAGCAAAGTCCTGGCTCTTTCTGGGCTTCAGGTTCTTTATTGTTTAAAGTGGGGGTTCTAACACCCGCCACTTGGCAGAAGTGTCTTATCAGGTGTCCAGTTTGAGGTTTGCTGAAGGGAGTTGATAGGAGAAAATGCACTGGGGCCCAAGTGAAGTGTCGGTGGGTTCAGGGGGAACGCCTGTACCCAGGTCCTGCCTCCTGGTCTCCAAATGCAGTGTCTGTCTTTGTTCATGCATGTGGGACCCTTTACCCAGAAGCCCTTCCTCCTGCTTGTCCACCTGACACACTGCTTTTTGTCCTCTATGAACACTTTTCTGTGACTTTCCGGACCCTCCTACCCCACTCCATGAAGTGGACTTCCCTGTGTACCAGGCTAGATGTGGAGACACAGTGATCCCCAGAACAGGACACAGTCCCATCTGGTGAGACCAAGGACAGCAGGGTCTGGTCACAAATGTGTTAGGGTCTCAGGTCAAGGACACTGACCTGGGAGTCAGGGAGAACTTCCCAGAAGCAGGGACTCCTGAGTCGAGTTTGCCAGGATAGACAGGCCAGGCCAGGCCAGGCCAGGCCAGGAGAAAGACAGGTGAAGGACGTGTGGTGAGGTTGCGGGGGGGCGGGGGAGGCGGTGTCTCTCTTCCCCCCAGAATGTCTTCCCTCTCCTCTCTGTCCCAAATGAGAACTGTGCGCAGAGCCTGGCTTTGGCTTCTCTGGTGCTGCCACCCCAGTGCCAGGCAGGGGCTCTGCAGTCCGGGTACGCATAGTGAGGTGTACCACCATGCCAAGTGCTGGTCTGGCTGTCCCCTGGACTCTGGCCTGTCCCCGACCCCCTGTCCCCTGCCTCTTGTCTCACACTCAGCTGTCTTCTGGAGAAACTGTTCTTCCCACAATGCTATCTCTTCTCCCTCCTCCAGCCCCTTCCCAGCTCCTGCTTGACCATCTTAGGTTCCAGGTACCTCTTGGCTCCTCCTCAGGGGTCCTGGACCCAAACCACCCTTGGCCCTGGCTGACAAGGCATATCACAAGATGAAGGTGGACATTAGGTCCTCTGGGCATCAGCCCTGGGACAGTCATGGTAGAGTGACCACATGCCATGCTGCCCAGCGTGGTCCTTCATAGGGTTGGCATATCCACAAATATCACTGCTTCCAGAACCTTTTTTACTGGCCCTGTAGGAGGAGGCCAGATCATTCTCTTGACCTCATCCCCATCCCCCAATTCCTTCTGGAGTGGATGGTTCTTGTTACAGTAACTTTGCTGAGTGATGTTGGGCTGATCCCTTTCACTATTGGAGCCTCAGTTCCTACAGGGGTCACATAGGGAAGGTGGATCAGTCCTACAGGGCACCTGGGGCCTGGAAGGTAGTCAGGAAATCCAGAGCTACTCCTGCTATGGGGCCACACCCCTCCCCCACCAAAATTACTTTTCAAAGTTGTGAGCCATGATATGCATACAGAGAAATGAGTAAATGCTCGTGCAGTGTAGCCATTACTTTTAGAAGGAACCCAGGTCAAGAAGTTGAACATTTCCAGGCTCATCAGGTGCCTGATGGCACCTTTCCCCAATCCCAGAGGTCTCTGGGATCCTGATTTGTTTCCATCATGGTTTTGCCTCCCAACAGATTGTCTGTAGATCCACACAGTTCCCCCTTTGCCTGGTCTAGAACTTCCATTATTGGAAGCTTTTAGCTTGTACTTTTCTGGCCAGCTTGTCTCAGCAGAGCATTGTTTATGCGTCTTCCATTGTGGTGTGTGAAGCTGTTAATGGCCGGTGGTCTTGGTAAATGGTTGTGGGTTGTGTTTATCCATTGATGAAGGGTTGGTAATAGTGGATAAACCACAGTGTGTTTATCCATTGATGAATGGTTGGTAATAAAGAGGCTGTGGATCTCTTTGAACTACTTGGCTGCATCTCCAGGTGTGTACCCAGGAGGGCGATTCTACTCAGGCAAAGTATGGTGGTTCAAGATCACCAGGCTCTCCTTGGAAACCCTATACAAGGGTCGCTATGAGTTGGAGCCAACTTGACTGCACTTAACAACACAAAAACAGGCTATGCTCGTGGTTAGCGTTAGAAGGTAAGATCAGTTCTATAAAGGGCTTCGACCACGTCACACTCCCACCAGCAGTACTGGGAGCTCCTGTGGTTCCATGTCCTCGCCAACACTTGGCATTGTCAGATGGTGAGCCCGACTTGGTCTCTTGGGGAGATGCTCATTGCACTTCTTGGGTTACCGACCACTGTGAGTGTCCTCTTTTGGAATGTCTTTGGGCCTTTTAAAAAAAAATCTATGGTTCTTTTTCTTCTTGATTTATTGTTAGTTGCTATCAAGTTGGCTGTGATCGTGGCGACCCCATTTCCACTGCAACAAAACTCTGCTGTGCTCTGTTCTGTTTTCACGATCCTTATTGTACTCAAGTCACAAAAAGACTGCATTTCAAGTGTCTTCCAACCTAGGGAGGAACCGTGGCAATGGGGGCTAAGTATTGGACTGTTGATTGCAAGTTCGGTGGTTCAAACCCACCAGCTGCTCTGTTGGAGAAAGCAGGCGCTCTGTTCCCATAAACATACCATCTAAGACGCCTTAAGCAGCTCTGCTCTGCCCTGTAAGGTCATTGTGAATTGGAGTCTCCTCAACATCAGCAGGTTTGGTTTGGTAGTGGTTTCATCCTTGGGGATCATCTTCCAGTGCTGTATTGAATGACCTTCGGTGTGACCTATTATTAGCTGATTTTCAGAATCGGTTTAGAAGCCTCTCTTCCTAGTCTGTCTTAGTCTGGAAGCTCAACTAAAATGTGTTCACCACCGTGATCCTGCTGATATTTGAAGTGTTGGTGGCATAGCTTTTAGCATCGCAGCAACGAGCAGGCCGCTCTGTGGGCAGACTGGCAGCTGGTGGTGCTAATGCTTGGGAGTTCTCTATAAGGTGGTATAGATACCAGCTCCCCATCAGTTACCTGTGGGGCAAGTATCCCTCCCACTGGCAGCTTGCTTCCCACGCTTTTAATTATTGGATGAATAGAAGTTCTTCTGTTGAAAGCTTTGATTAAACCATTTCGTGTTGAAAACCCTTCAGAGGTCCCAAAGCTAGTGGCTTTTAAACCACGTACAGTGGATTTTTGTGTTTGTTTGGCTTTGAGCTACTTCTTTCTCTCTTTTTTTTTTTTTGGCACATGAATGCTCGATTCTCAGGCTCACGCTGTAATTCACTCACAGGCCAGATTTTGGGGGGGACCTGTCACCATGCTGGAAACACCATAGGGAGCGGTCAGGGGGACCTCTGTGGATAGTCCCCAGGTAGCCACACACATGTAATATTGCAGCAGATTTCAGCACTCACAACACGTCCCTTCCAGCCCCTGGGCCTTTTCCAGACATACCAGTCATGCTTTTGCCTCACTCCATACTATTCCTTTTGCCTGGAATGCTGTTCCCCAGATGGTTTAAGGGTCACTACTTCCCCTCCTTTCACACCTTTCTCAAATGTCACCACTGGAGCCCATCCTGAGCACTCTGCTCTCCCCTCCCCCAACAATCCCTCACCACCCTTGCTTTGACTGCCCCTGCCTGATTTGCATACAATTTATGATCCTATTTGTCC